CTGTAGATAATTAATCGTTGTCATGCCTCAAATTTCGTTTTTCATTTATGTATATTGTTTATTTGCCTTATATACTTTAACTTAAGTATTTCTTATTACCTATAAATAGTCTTTAGTTTCATGAATTTTTGGCGCTCCTTAACTACAACTTCAAAGGGGTTAAAAATAAAAAAAAATAGGGATTTTTTCTAAACTTATACTTTTTAAAGCTGTATTTAAGCAAAGCGACTCTATGTTTTTTTTCTTTTTTAACCCCTCTATGAATATAAAAAATTTGTATGAGCCAATTTTTTTAGATGAAAAAGCACAATAAGATGGGTATGTGGTGTCTACATGAAGCAGGTGAAAATTACGCTTCTAATGAGGAATTTGTTTTTACTGTGCAAATGGTTGCTACAAAAAGCAGAGCATTAAGACGGGAACAACCCTTCAAAACTTTCGTCTACCTGTTTTCATCCAATTAAGAATAATATATTGTTGGGTTATGGGTATGAGTAACAGCGTTTTGCATGCATTACTTGCGAGATTTCTGAACCAACATATATTTCTTATGAGGATGAAGCTTTAAAAAAAATAAAAAACGAAGTTGACAACTACTTTAGTAAAATGGGAGGACCTGGAAAGTTTATACAAGTAGATAAAACTGAAATATGTAGGGGAAAGATAATATTACACCCCACATCTACATATGATGAATTTCCAGGCACAACATGGCTTGTGGACGGCATAGATGAAGTAACAAATGATTTTTTTTACAAATTGTTCCAGATAAAACAGCACTTACGATGCTTGAACTTTTTAAAAATTTTGTCGTAGAAGGCACGACTATTAGAACGGATGGATGGGCGGATATCGATCAGCTGTACATGATTTTGGCAGTGATTATCATATACTTCATCACAGTGTTGGTTCTACAAATAATTTAGACCAAACACCAATAATATTGAAAATTTATGGAGCCACATGAAAACCGATTTACGAACTAAACGTGGCATAATAAGAGTTAATATTAAAAATTTTGTATATGTGTTGAATTTCAATTTAAGAGAAAATTTTTAAGAAAAAAGAATGTTGAAACGTTCGAAGTGACGTTTAAAAAAACTTAAATGTGTAAATATAAAAAGCTTGAATCTAAATATTTAATTATTTTTTAGCCCTTCTTTTTCAAATCTTAAAACGTTTTTTTAATAAATAAAAATCTTTCATAGCTGATTATATAATATAAAGCTTAATTTTCTAATATATCTTTACTTTAGTTTATTCAATTATTCAAACTGTAAAATATGCGCTATTGTCATTTTATAATTAAAAGTGTGCAATGTTCAATAATAAACAATACATACATGCACAAAGACATATT